CCATTTTACTCATAAAATCCCCAATAATTATCCCTCAAATTATTGTTGTGGTAATTTAGTCATCTAAATTTTATATTTATGCCTAAATATTTTAAAAATATTTTAATGCATTTTTATAATTGCATTTTGCATTTTAAAGCTAATTTGCATATAATTGCAATATTAGCCTTATTAATGTACAATTACGTTTTATATGCATAAAATCGACCTTCTATACTTTTAAAATGTTGAATATCTATTTTAAATCATGTTAGTACATGAAATTATTTTATAAAAATTATTTACTATTTATTATAAATTATATGGAATTAAATTGGTTACTTAAAACATAGTCAGATTGCATTTCGATTTTAGCCCCAATTTTAACCCAACCCTAGCCCAATTTCTAATCAGATTACCCGACCCAAACCCTAAACTCGCCTACCCGACCCAGAACCAATTGAATCATGGACGTTGATCTAAGAGATCAACGGCCCGTATGAACTCTTGCCTTTTTTTAAACTCTAAATGACCCCTAACCCTAACTCATTCTACCAAATCCGCCACCTCTGTATTCTCTCATCTCCTCTCCTCACCCTCAAACCCTAGCCCTTCAACAGCCGACCTCTCTTCTCCGGTCTTCTCCGGTGATCTCTCATCGACTCCTAAGCCTCCAATGGTTTCTCTCATGCCATGCTTGCCTTCTCTAAGGTCTTGAAGGGCCCAGGGCCACGCTGACATACATCTATGGTTCGTCACTTGTCTGTTCTTGGCTAATCCAGTGTGATTTCGAGCAAAATCATGCTGTATTTGTTGCGATCCTTGGGATTCTAGACAGGTTCTTTCATCTCTATATGGATTTCTTCTGAAACCCTAATTTCTTCCTATATCTCTTAGATCTGTACAGATCTATGATGATTCGAGTTTGTTTCTTTAATGTTTTGCACTGTCCTTGGAACTCTTTTACAAGAATTGTTGATTTCAAGTGTTTTTCACCTTCTTCTAAAAATTAAGGTTTCAAAACTTCTTTTAAAATTTTGTTTAACTGATTCTTTGTGTTTAAACTTCTACTTCTTGCATTATTTTAACTGATTCTATGAGTTTATCACATCTTTAACTCGTCTGTGTTGAAAGCCTTAATTTTTCTAGGCTTCTTCGTCTGATTTTGTGACTGGCCTGTTCTTGTTTGAGTTTCTGTGACTATCTTGCCTCGATATGTTTCTACGGAGTTTTTATGCTTAATTACATCAGCTCTATATGCTGGGATTCATCTTGACTGGTCAATACTTGCCTCTTTGCTTGCTATGTTTGGTTACTCCTATCTCACTCTATTTATATGCTTAAACATTGACTCATGGCTCTCTCTTTGATTGACTCTGAGCTCCCTGTTTCTTGGCTTGATTTGAAAAAATACCTTTAGACCTTCGATTCTCCTGTTTAAACTTGGTTTATTTTCTTATTCATGGGAACCCATGTTACTCTCCTTAAATCAGTAATTTCAAGTCCTTGATTCACTAATTTGCTATATGCTGATTTTCGATTATTTCCATATTTTACAACTTTATTTTATATTCTTACCTTATTTGGTTAACCGAGTATTTTACTGATTCTTCACTAGTTGTTTACTTAATTTGAACCCTTATGTACTTACCCCTAATTGTCTATATTGTACCTGATGCCCTACTTGATTTCTTTCCTTAAACATTTTCTGCCCATTCCTGTTGGTTGATTACCCCTTAATTAAAGGAATGCTTGCATTGATTTGATTCTGATCAGTATACTTAGTTCCATAATTACTATACTACTGTGATTCTTGCCTTATTTTACCTAATTTCGAACTACTATATATACACACACTCTTTCATTAATACAAACACACGAACATTGGCTCACAAACTCTCTCTTTCACACTAAAAAGTTTCTGCTCTCTTTTGTGTCACTTACTACTGTCTAAAGTCAGCCGGCTGTAAGCCAAGGCTGACTACTGAGTTCTCTTTCACTTTGTGTTTACTATCCCCTTACTAGTATGTTCTAATTTCAATTTAAGTCTCAAAACAACATGCTTCTCCTATTACTTCAATTTGCCATGTTTCTAATATGCTTCTATCTATGGTTTTGTTGTTCAACCAGCAATTAGCATATCTACTTCACTGTCTTATTTACTGCATGCTATATACCCCCTTAGGATCCCTCTAAATGTGACTATGTTTCTCTGATCCCTGGCATGCACCTTCTCGTATGAAGTAAGTGGCTATCCTAAGCCTATTGATTCTGTATTAACGCTACAGTTCATGCTACACTTTAAAAGCCTTGGCCCCTTTTAAAGGCTCCTCTGGCTTTGTACCTATGTGCATCTATGTTTACTATGTGCCCTATGCTTAACCCAAACCCCCATTACCCCCTAAATGGATGTGTGCACCTGTTTGACTCCATGTATTGAAGTGCTGATGAGCTTCTTCTAGTTCTGTATTTGGTCTGATTGATTGTTAGTCACCTTACCCTTTTCAAATTATCTTATTTAATAACTCCCTATGTTTTTTACAAAACTATTTCAAGCAAATCTCTATTTAACACTGTTTTCTTACTGAAACCTTTCAAACTATGTGAAGCACTCTCACTATACTCCTAAGTCACTAGGTTATGCCCCCTCTAGTGTGTGTACTGCCTTGGGATCCTCTTGAGAACTCTCTGAACTCTGGCACACTGAGGCTGGCCCTTCCACAGTGCACTCACTCAATTTGGTTACAAATTCTAGATTTGAGCACTGCCTAGGATCCTTGAGATCCTTAGAGAACTCTAACGCACCTAGACAATGACATTGTCTATGGAATTTGGGCATTTGAGGCTATTGGAGGCTTTGGAAATCTGGGCCTATTTGTAGGCTCCCTATAGAATAACTTCATTTTCTTATCTACTTATGTAATTCATTCGGTATTGGCATGTAATAATTTGTAAATGTATATTGGGGTAACTAGTGAAAAGGGTGGGTAGTTACATATTTGTGGTGTAATACGGGTAGAAACTATGCCTATAGGATTTTTTATTTATTGTGTTTGCCTTATGGTTCCAATAATAGAAATCATTCTTATAGGTCTTAAAATCATCTTCACAAGTAGATACCATGCCTATAGGATATGATTTAATTCAACTTCTGTTACATCGAGTGTTTATATGTGTTTTCATTTGTTATCATGCCTACCAGTTTCTAACGTCAGTTTTTCAAACAATTAGATATCATGCCTATAGGAAACAACACCAGAAATTCCGCCTGTAGATTTAAACCAGTTTAGTTTAAATAAATCAATCTAGTCCACGATTAGTTCACTTTAAAACTAGTTTAATTAGCGGTTTATTTTCCCTGAAATGAATTCTTTCAAAACTGCCTTAATCTATCATTAGACAACATGCCTATAGGGATTCAAGAGTCTGTTTTTAAAATCTGCTCTGTTTTACCATATAAAACGTAGTTATCATTATTCCGCGTGTAGGCAACCCTATAGGGCATTTTCAATTCTTTAACTTTGAAACTGTTTCTGTTACTTAATGTCGTTCTGATTTTAATATGCTTAAAAATTAGTAGGCAAACTGATAGAGCCATTACTTCTTAGTTTACAAAATAAATAAACTGTCTATCTTCTGTGTCTTGATATTCATTTAGACATCATGCCTTAGGATACTGTTTAACAAAAGGCCCTTATTTGTGTTTGAGTTGTGCTGCTTATGTGCATTGTTTGTGGAGGTAAACTTGAGCCTCAAATTGCTTCTTCCCTGTCTTATATGCTAAGGTCCTATTTGTTCTTGCTTGTCGCCTTAATATTTTCTCCTTTAAACCTTAGAGGTCTGTCTAGAACTACCTATAGATAGAGGTCCTAAATTTTCTCCAGGACCATTAAGAAGGGACGGTAACAACACGTAATAGAGATCGCTGACCAACACTCGCTTTAATGACCACTATGGGGTAGGAAGGGTAGATATGTGATATGACGACTATGGGCTAATGTTACGTGTAGCCCCTCATTGATGAGTGTTTACCGGACATTGTGTGTGGTGTTCCTGTAGGATAACCAATCTAGGACCCCTCCTTTCCCAAATCCCTTATGTTTAAAACTTTGTTTAATATACAACTTGTTCAAAACCTTTATCTTATTATTTGAGTTATTCAATGTCCTAACGTGCTTCACTTGAAAATTATTTGATTAAACTATTTATTTGTTAATGGACTAATTCGTGAATATAAATTCGGCCAGGACCCATTGTGGACCGAGAGAGGTCCTAACACCTTCCCCTCGAGGTCATTTTGAGCCCTTACCCTAATCTCTGGTAATGCAAACCAATCCAAGAGTTAATCGCTCTAGGTTCCCTAACGCACCATAACCCGTTAGATGGAGACTCTTCAAATACTCAATTTCCAAAAGGAAATGAGTTGTCCCCATGAATGTCGGAACCCGGACTTTCTCCGTGGAGGGGGGAAAAAAGGGGGCGCGACAACGCCAAAATTTCAATTTCGCCAATTCAAGCATAAATCTACTCCGCACCTCCAAAACACATTTCGATCATGCTACTAAGTCCCAAATTACCTCCCAAAGCTATCTGAACTATCGGAATTCTCATCCGAGCCCTTTTTCACATAAGTCAATATCCAGTTGACTTTTCCAACCTAAGCTTACTCAAAAGAGACTAAGTGTCTTGTTCCTCTCCAAAACCTCTCCGAACCAGAACCAACCAACTCGATATCACACAATACAACTGAACAAGATAATAAGAAGCAAAAATGAGGAAAACAGAGCGGTAACTCATGAAACGATTGTAGAATTAAAAAAAATACAAAAAATAGTATTGATATTATATTTTTCCAAAAAAGATAAGAATAAAAATTTTGGACTAATTTTCTCTTGTTTTTATGTGAGAAGACTATTATTTTGAGCTTGCCTTGGCCCAAAAGAGGCCCAAATTCGGCCAAGCGCACTACCCAATATACCCCATCTCTAAAATATACCCTAATTCCCTCTATATAGAACTAACCTAATTCACTAGACAAAACGATCGGCCGCAACACACTCAAGAGAAAGAGAGACAACAGATGCTCCTTCTCCTTCTCCAAGACCCAACGGGCAGAACTCCTTCCAAAACTCCATCTCCGCCGTACACTGCCAAAGGAAGAAGAGAACGAGCCTCACCCACATCCCTTAGAGAAAAGAACGGCATCCCACCACCACAAAAAAAGACGCTGCCTTCTTCCAAATAACCCCAAAACCCATCATACTTTTAACCCAACTTTGTTTTCCAATAATAAACTTAGCTCCAGTTTTTACATCTTTCTTCTTTGATAATCAAATTAGTCCAGAAAGAGGAAAGTGGTTGATTGTTAAATATTCAATCAAATATAAGCAAAGGTATACATAAATAAATAAAGGGAAGGGAAGGACGAACGAGAGGGCAACGACTAAAGAAACATAATCTCCAAAACTAGAGCAGCCACCCATTCTTCAAAAAACGCAGCAAAAACTTTATGCTCTGTTTGTTGATCACTAGTTTAGTTTGAGTATTCCGGCAAGCTTCGAGTCGTTGAAGGTCGTGGTCCGAGGTGTTTGTTCAGTCGCAATTTTCCGTTGAGTGAAGCCCATTCCGATTCATGTCCCGCTTTTATTTGGTACTTCGAACTGTTTCTTTGCTTTCAATAGGTAAGCTCTTCATTTTTGCCTTCTTTAATTTCTAGTTTTATCTCTCTACCTCTTTTTGTTGAATAGTATTTGACTTGGATATATGGAATCTTGTTGTATTTCACATTCTATATATTTGTTTTTTTTCTTTGTGTGGCAATCTTTATCATTCTATGTATTTAATTAATATGGATTATAAGATTTGGTTTGTAAATTCAATTTATTTATTTGAATATATATTAAAGTCCAATAGAAGCCTTCGTCCTTGAAATGTATGCAAGTGGAAGCGTCGCCTTGAGTACAAAAGTAGATGTAAAGCAAAATATTGGAGGAATTCTAATTCAGAAACTCTTCAAATCTTGAACTATTCGAAAATAAACAATGTCAATCAAGGTGGATAACTAAACTGCAACTCGCCTAAAAAGTATAAAAAATGTATGCCCCAAAGTAAATCCAAGAAAATGAAAAGAAAAGAGAGGATGAAATTACAATATAGAATAAAGGATTGAGACGAGGAAATATGCTTTTATTCTATTTTTTTTACAAGTAATTCATATCGTTAGTATGCTTCTAGGTACGCTCTTAATCAAATTATCGTGATTATGTATACTTTCGCGTGATATATTTACGATTTAAAAAATAAATAGAGGTATGCATTCACGCAACTTCGACCAAACTTTCTTAATATTAACAAATCATGATTGATTGTGTACACATATGCATGACATGATTCTTGGCGCGCCGAACGAATTTAGTACACGTACGCGTGACTCGTTTTTAGATGATTCCAAAATTACGAATAATCAAGCAATTAAAAGCGGAGGTGAAATGCACATAGGTTCTAAAACACGTAATTAAATAAATTTATTAAGCTACGTATGATTAAAGCGATCGTGCTAAAACCACGAAATCCGGGAGTGCCTAACGCTTTCTCCCGGGTTAACAGAATTCCTTACCCGGTCTTTTGGTTTCGTAGACTTTAAAATAGAGTCAATTTTCCTCGATTTGGGATTTAAGATCGGTGACTTGGGACACTATAAATTATCTCAAGTGGCGACTCTGAATTAATTAAATAATTCCATTTCGATTATTGTCACTTTAATTGGAAAAACTCCATTATATCTATTTCGGGTAAAAAAGGAGGTGTGACAGCTCTGGCGACTTTGCTGGGGATAAGAACCCAGAATCTCTGGTTCATGATTCAAAATTTGAGCTTGTTAATATGATCTATGCTTGGCTTTATTGTTTGTTAATATTACTGTATTTGTAGACCTAATGTGCTAATTGCCGCTTATTTTACTGCTTTGATATTATTTGAACTGTATTAAACTGTCTTCTTACGCCTCCCTTCTGAGTCTTCTAAAAATATGGTGCACACGTACGTGTGGCCCACTTTTTTGTTAGAAGCCATACCAAATAGAACAAGGCTTAGGTCAGCAACAAGGCCGGGTAGACTTTCGTGCTCCCGGTACGTTGCCCCCGCCTCAGCTCAAGCTGTCCACTCGGGTAAGCTAGGTCTATAACACAACCTCAGGTTTAAACTTAGAATAACAGAGCCTCATGCCGTATCCTTAGTAGGAACGTTTATTTGCATCACGTGCATTTGACTTTGGGGACTCAACACAGGGGTTGGGTCTGTCTAGGACAAGTGTACTCAAAAATAAAAGACCATCCTGATGCATCTTATGTGCTACATGTTCCATTCTTCAAGGGTAAAAAGGGTCATTTGGCGGACCAATGATGGTTGAGGGTAAATGAGGGAGAAAAGAGGGTGGAGTGTGAAAATAAAGTAAGTAGGGCCCAGTTATGTTTTTCTTTCATATTTTTTTTAAGAAAAAGACAAAAAAATGAAAAATCCCACAAAAGATTTTGCATTTTCCCATCATTTTCCGTAAAAAAAATCAAAAAAGGGGAAAAAGAACGTCCAAAAAGAGTTTACATGTTTCATCATTTTAAAAAAAAGACAATATATTTTCTCCAAATCAGTAATTTTTTTATTCTTGCCCGTATCCAATCTTCCCGAACTACGCATAACTGATTTTCGTCTTTCGGGGCGGGATACGTAGGTAGTTCACATAGGGTTCGGTCTTCCTAGTGAGTCTTAGGTTCTTGGCTTCGCGAGGTCTTAGCCAAATCTTGCATGTTTAGCCACTTTTGGCCACATCGGCCATTCTTGCAAAAATGGGGTCATTTGTGCAAAAGTGGTTCAATGACCCATGTCTTAGAATCTTGAGTCCACAAATAGGTGTCATATTACTTTAAGGCCCATCCTTTTTTGAGTTTGCATCTTTAGCTACTTCTGGCCACATCGGTCATTCTTGCAAAATGGATCATTTTTGCAAATTAATTTTGGGCCATGATTATTGGGAGTTTGAATCCACATAAACTTTAGTGAGGTATTTCCATATCTATGAGGTCACCTTTGATGAGTTTGCGCTAATAAGCCACGAAGGTCAATTTTAAAAAAATAGCCACAATCATGTCTTGCATGTGTCCAACAGGGAGTGATATTGTCTCACATAGTATTCTAAGTTTTTAACTCTATTTGGTCTTATTTTCTCATATAGGTGTGGATCTGCTTACCAGAGCTTGAGCATGACAAACACCCTAGGAACATCCAGTCAGGATCACTGCATTCAGGAGCTAGCTTAAGGAGACTTTTTATATTATGAGTTTGTTTTTTGTGTTGTTTTGTTCTTTAAAGTCATGTCCAATAGTACCGATTCTTTTAGTTGGTGTCATAATTTGTTGCAGTATAGTTGAATTTGTCGAGTCTCTCATTATCGTACTTCCTATGATGTATTTGAAAACCAAAAAATTTATAAATGAAAACCCAAAAGATTTTGTTTTTAGTTTATTACATTTCCAGAACTACGCTTGATCTAGTTCATGAGGGACATGATACGTAGGCAACCTACATAGGGTTCGATCTAATCATCATTAAATAAAAAAGAATTAAAAAAAAGAGAGAATGAAGTTTTGGGACGGGAGAAATGAGAGGAAAGAATGAAGTTTTGGGACGCTGGCTCGGCTTATTATGACAAAAGACGGTATTCACATGACCGTTGACTCTTTGATTTTTTTTCTTTTAAAAATTACAATAAAAGACTTGGCGTTGTAAACACGGCC